CTTGCCAAGACCCTCGCATTTACGTACGTATTATAATAAAAATAATTATTATTATTATTCATTTAAGGAACTGAAGCACAGATCCAAGTCCCTAGATCAAGAGCCCCCTCACCAAGGAACCTCCCTTGAGGGGAAGTTTGCATCCTGAAATTTTGTTCATATCCAGAAGCAAAAAATCGACCGAGTGACTGTTCATATCCTGAAAAATTTGCATGGTGAGGCATTCATAAGCCAAGGTTCCACTGTACTGTAATTTTAAAGTTTTTATTCTTTGAACTTGATCAAAGGCCTACAAGCAAAGCTTTCCTGATGACTGTCATCAGTTAAGTTACTGCTGCCTGTGGTCCCCAAGCTCATAGTCATCCCTGATTGACTAATTTGGCATTGTTTGTAGTAACAAAGTCCCTCTTGAAAACCTCTATCTTTGTTAGTGCATTATTTTTTATACTATACACTGAAATGCTGAAAAACTCCAGGCATTTGATGTTGACAATCTTCTTCACTTGTATTAATGACACTCCTATCTTTCTAAGTTTACCTTACACTTCTTAACCCTGTCGCTTATTGTGTTCTGTAAAGGTTAGGTTAACTGTTATAAATAGGAATTTTACTATATGGTGAAAGTAACTGATCGGGTAAAAGAGAAACTGAAATGGCAGCCCCACTTTTACGAGTCCACGGGTATGCCAACTACGTATATATCACAATGTGTTCAAACATGTGGAAAACCCCAAATATTACTTAACACAATTTTATAAGTGTCCAAAACCACACGTGACTCAAGGATACAGCAACAAATCAACCATCCATCACTCCCATCTCTGAACTGAGAATTTTGCTACATTGTGGAAGTTACAATTTGTGTAAAGATTACCAAGAACTGAACTGACTGGCTTGCATTTCCAAGTTCAAGGCTATAACATCTCAGCCAAATTATACAGCCATGGATAGATTCACCTGGCAATCAATAACTCTTCCACAAGTGCCACATACAGTATATCAAATTAAAACAATTGTTCTAAAGCAGTTTCTGTTCCCTTAGTAACACAATTTCTCTACAGCCATTGGAGCTGCTTTTACTGCTACTATAAGAAGGCTGCTCTACAACTCTTCTAACTTAACCTATAAATTTAGCAATTATTATACTAGGTTCATCATTAATGTAAAATACTTCTCTAGCTATGCTAAGAGGAAATTATTCCTGTGAAGTTTTCACATTCACTAATAATCCCTTTGTCTTTACCTACTGTAGAATGATCACTAGTTTTGTTAAATAAACTTTTTCCTAATTATTCTACCACTTCTCCACATTGCTATACAGTGGTCCGTCAATAATCGTCCATAATCCGTTCCTGGAAGTGGGACTATTATTGAAATGGACGATTTACGAATCAATTTTCCCCATAAGAAATAATGTAAATTCAATTAATCCGTTCCTGACACCCAGAAGTATTAAAACAAAAATTTTTTTTACATGAAATATAGATGTAGTACATAAACAATACAGTGGCACATGATGAATTAAACATTAACAGAATAACACTTACCTTTATTGGCGATTCTTCTTTGTGTATGGAAGACTGGAGAATGAGACTGATTGGATGAATTACTGTTTGGAAGGGGAATCCCCTTCCATCAACACCTTGGGTACCAATTGCTTTTCTGGGGTTACTTCTCTTCTCTGTTTCTTAATGCCACTAGGACCACCTTGAGAGTCACTGGAGTCCTGTCTCGCAAAAAAACTGTCCAGAGAGCTCTGTTTCTGGCGTCTCTTTAAAACTTCCCTAAAATGGGCCAAGACTCTGTCACTGTACAAGTTGCCAATATGGCTTGCAACATCCTTCTCTGGGTGATGTTTCTCCATAAATCTTTCCATCCTACCCCACATTTCAAAAATCTCCTTAATTTCTGAAGAAGGCACCTTCCTCCATCTCTCTTCCTCCTCCTCTGCAGCAAGATTCAGAGCTGCCATTTGTTGCTGTTCCTGCTGAAGCTCTTGCAGCTCCTCAGTGGTTAGCTCTTTGTTGTGGTCCTCCACCAACTCTTCCACATCCTCCAAACTCACATCCAACCCCATGGAAGCCCCCAGTGCCACAATGGATTTAACAACTGACATAGGCTCATCAGGGTCAGCCCCAAACCCTTCAAAATCCCTCTTGTGGACACAATCTGGCCACAATTTTCTCCAAGCAGAGTTCAAAGTACTGGTAGTCACTCCCTCCCAAGCCTTACCTATAAGGCTTACACAATGGAGAATACTGAAATGTTCTTTCCAAAAATCTCGTAGGGTCAAGTGAGTGTCTGAGGTCACATTCAAGCACCTTTCAAACATTGCTTTGGTGTAGAGTTTTTTAAAGTTTGCAATGACCTGCTGGTCCATGGGTTGGAGGAGAGGAGTGGTATTCGGGGGCAAGAACTTCACTGTGATGAACCCAAACTCCTTCAGAATTAGGTCATCCAAGTTTGGAGGATGAGCAGGTGCATTGTCCATTACTAGGAGGCACTTGAGATCCAATTTCTTTCCCAGGAGGTAATTCTTCACACTAGGGCCAAACACTTCGTTGAACCACTCTACAAAAATTTCCCTCGTGACCCATGCCTTACTATTAGATTTCCAAAACACACACAATTTACTCTTCATAACATTGTTTTTCCTGAACACTCTGGGATTTTCAGAATGGTACACTAGCAATGGCTTCACTTTGAAATCCCCACTAGCATTAGCACAGAACATTAGCGTCAGCCTGTCTTTCATAGGCTTGTGTCCTGGCACTGCCTTTTCCTCTTGTGTAATGAAAGTCCTCTTTGGCATTTTCTTCCAAAAGAGGCCTGTTTTGTCACAATTAAACACTTGTTCAGGTTTCAGTCCTTCACTGTTTATGTACTCCTGGAATTCATGCACATATTTTTCAGCCGCCTTGTGGTCCGAACTGGCAGCCTCACCATGCCTTACCACACTGTGTATGCCAGTACGCTTCTTAAATCTCTCAAACCAGCCTTTGCTAGCCTTAAATTCACTCATCATCACTAGTTGCAGGCAATTTCTTTACCAGATCGTCATGCAACTGCCTAGCCTTTTCACAAATAAGCGACGTCATAAGACTGTCTCCTGCTAATTGTTTCTCATTTATCCACACCAATAATAACTTCTCAACATCTTCGAGTACTGGTGATCTCATTTTTGTCAGCATATTTACCCCCTTTGCAACAACAGCATCCTTGATTTCCTTTTTCTTGGCTATGATGGAAGATATGGTTGTACGGGATTTGTTATACATCCTGGCCAGTTTGCCGTACGCCATTATCATATTCTTCAATGATGTTTTTCTTAAATTCAATCGTATTTCTCACCTTCTTTACCAAAGGCTTGGCACTAGGAGTTTTCTTTGGAGCCATGGTAGCTTATTTAGCACTTAAATAACTTGCAAGCACTAAAATAAATGAAATATTATGAAATATTTCACTGGAGCACGTGAGGGGACCGTCGCTCACTGGTAAACAATGTCACACTGGCTGGGAAGGAAATGCCGAGGCGGCTCGAGGCCGCTCAGACCGTGCATACGCGTCCGGGACGAAGGACTATTAGCGAGTTACCGGACCATTTCCGAGCCAATATTTTGACGAAAAAACAGGACTATTTCCGAAATGGATGACTTTCAGGCCGGACGATTATTGAGGGACCACTGTACATATTTTCCACTAGACCCAACTAACTTTTTCCATATTAATTTAACACTTCACCAAAACCTCATCCATTCAGTGACATTTTTTAATACACTAGAAGCCTCATTCTTACATTTTTGTTTTCTGTCATCTTCTAAGTGAATGCCAATCTTGTGGATTTACTCACTAATTATGTACAATACAGTGTACTGTGTCTATTATGAACTATCCTTATATCACAAACATTATCATTATCTGTTATTAACACTAAATTCTATAATATACAATTATATTATCACTGCATGCGGTAATTATTACTTACGTTCATACAGCCTGCCTAAAGGATTTAACCCTTAAACTACTAAAGGCACTGAAATAAAAAGTGCCCTCAGTGCTGGCCCTTTTGAAAAAGTAATTATTTTATCTTAACAAAATGTTCTCCCTGAATTTAGATTGAGCACTTGAAAATACATAGATTTCATGTATATTTACTGTTCAATATCACTAATGAAATGGCATTTCCTGGCTCCTACAGTACCCTGAGCACATTCATTTTATACTGTGCACATCTATGGCCCAAATCTGTTTACTTTGATGTAGCCTAACCAGGCCAATCGCAACCATTTTCGAGGCCCTAGAATTTGTGTGTAAATTTATGTCAACAGCATTTTAACCAGTTGGGATACATTTACATTATCAGCAGTTTAAGGGTTAATGTCCTGACACATCCTAGGAGAAGAGTTTTTCTAAATAAAAGACATCACACAAACAGAGCCTTCAAACACACACAAGAAGTTCAGTGTACTCGTCATAATTTTTGCATGAAAATAACTACACCTCTACTCTATCTGAGCACAAAAATAAATCACACTTTAGCATGATAGAGCAGAATACATAAATCCAGTGACATACTATACAGTGGTGTCATAAAATGATAAGGGAAAAGTAGTGTTAACATCAGAGGTCTAAGATGGCTTAACTTGTTCACCATAAATCAAACAAATATTACAAGGACAATTATGAAGCCACCAAAGTGTGTACCCTGGCAAGCTGTTTAAAAATGTACCTACTACTATAGTCAGGCTGCAATGGTTATACTAGCTCACAAGATGAAAACAGTAACAAATATAAGAGAATCTACCCCACTAACTCTTGCACTTACTTCTTTTATTTTTTCACAGAGAAATTAGTGTATAGCCCACAAATTCATCTTTCATAAATGTTATGAATATCTTGCTACAATTATAATACTGTTTACGAAAATACACATAGGGTATATCAACATCATGCATATAAACTAAGCTATCTCACCAAGCTAATCTCCTATCTTTCCTTACCCGTCTAGTTCAGTGTAACACCTGCAAAGCAAGAAAATAAAAATAAATTCTTTGCTAATTCTCAACAAACCCATTATCCAAAATTAATGATATACATATATAGTTGACAAAGTCACACAACAACAAAAAAAAAAAAATGGGAGAAAAACTAAGCTCTTGAAAATAAGTTGCAACCATAGGCTTTACTTAAAACACAGAAAATAATATAGAGTATATTACAAAATATTATAGGCATAACATTTGCTGCCAGACACATATCCAACACTTTTTTAATTCAAAAAAAAAAAATAAATAAATATTAAACTACATCACTGGGTCAGCTTTATATTCAGTATATTAAATCTGTGACTTTACCAGTGCAATTAGCAAAAACAACTAGAAACACTCAACAAAAGTTTAAATTTCTCAATGTCATTTGCCTCAAAACTTATGCTTTAATAGCAATTTCTAAGGAAATGAATGAAAATATTACTTAAAACAAATGAAGAGTTAAAGATGACCCATCTCCTAGTATACAGAGTAACTTCAGAAACACTTTAGACCTTCCTGTTACATAACTGAGGTGCAAAAACCTGCACACTAATATTAAAACAAAATTCTTGGCATCCATTTTCCTTCTTGGTTCTAATTTACAGATATTCAAAATGCAGTGCTGTCCAACTTCTCCCCACTCAACTAATTCATTCACAATAATCTCTAGTTATTCTACTGTCTCACTCAAAACCAGTTCTATTAGTTTTCCATTTCTATCTTTTCTCATCTCACTTTTATACCCAAGTTACCAGCCAAATCCAGTTCTCAAACAAATACATCAATGAAGATTTTATACAACTACAGCAGTAACATCATTTACACTACTGCTTATTCCTACATATCCTTCACTCTCTTAACAGAAACTCTGAAATGCTTCATATTGTATTATCAGTTTATAATACTAAATCAATTTAAAAAAATAGCATAAAAATTAATATAAGAATAAGCAACTCATTTTCTAAGGCACAAACAAAAAAGGCATATGCAGGAATTTACATAACAATGTAACTTGAAAAAGGTTAAATATACAGACATGTCACTAAATCCAAACAATATAATTTAACTATTAATATAAGAAAAAATCCATTAAAATACAAAATTCATTACAGAAGAACTGACCTGCCAGCAAGTCTATTTGGCGTCGAAACTGTGTCATCAAGTAGAGAGCCATCCGCAGATAAAAATGCCAAATCACCAACTGACGATCTTCGTTTGCTGAACAGTAAAAAAAAAAAAAAACCAAATGTACACAACCTATGCACAAATCACAGGTTTAAGTGTTTTCCAAATAAATCACCAGTTAAAATTATCCTAATGGGTTTGACGAGTCTCAGGATTAAGAGTGGTAGATGACAAAGTCATTCTGAGGCTTTATTGAGAGTAAAGTGATGAGCTACAGTCACGGTATGTCCAAGAGGGTGTCAGGATAACAGACTTGCACTCAATGTGACCAATCCTTACTTGCACAGCACAAGACTAGCCTATATCCATTAGAATACTTTATAATCATTGAAAACTTTTATGTACAGTAATTCAGTGCTGAAAATATTAACTACTGATGCATGTAAGATTACACAAACAATTGCACAGCAATGTGCTACAATTCCCACACATTGGCTATGAGCCTAAAATATGAATACGTCTAAATAAGATGCTTTAACCCTCTGAGGGTCCGTCCCGTAGTTCTACAGCTTTGAAGCCTGGGTTCAAGCCGTAGAACTACGGCTTGAGCTCAGCCCACTCAAATAAGCTGTAAGCAGTAAATCTGGGCCTAAATATGAGAGAATACATCTATGTGGCAAGTGTGCACTACATAAAACAAATACTGCAACATGCAGTGCATAATGAGAAAAAACTGTGATCGTATTTTTGGATTAAAACAGTGACTTGGCGGTGTTTTCTCATATGTTTTTTACAGCTGTATTCACAATTTCTTGGTCTCATTCGATAGAAGATATATTAAAGAAACAGAGATGATTTTGATTGGTTTTAGTATCGAAAATGGCTTCAAACTGAGTTCAAAGTAGCGGAAATGTTCAATTTTTGCCGATGTTCAAGAGTAAACAAATGACGTCACGCGTCCAATACATGTCAGCTGGTGGGTCTAATATACGTACACTCACGAATGTGCTGATATTATTTATACAATTATTACAATATTGCATAACAGTAAATCTATTTTTTGGCGTGAATAAAAATTCCTTATATGAACAAAAAATTAATATGGAATTCATTTGTAAAGCCTAAAAACATAAATAAACAGAGGAAACTTTAGTTTAGTGCCAGGAATGCCTGCATGGTTTATTTTGGACCCTATTTTGAAACTGGAATAGTTTGTTAAAATGGCCAAATTACCAATTTCTTATCACTTTACTGGGTAGTCGAAAAAGTTGACTGGGCGATTTTTTGTGCTCAACTGATAAAACAGAATTAATACTAGCGAAATAGTGAAGAATTTGGTCGACTGGAATAATGTAATTGGCCTAAAATGGGAGTCAAAGTGGGCAAAATTGCTGATGTGTAAATATCACTGATGCAACAAAATTCATGAGAGCGTAATTTCATCAATTTTCGTACTTTTTATTTTATTACCGTCAGAAAGAGAATCTCTACCATTTCATAAGAAAAAATATTTTTTTTTTAAATCTTGGACCCTGTGGAAAAGTTTCAGATCAGGAGTCTGGACCCTGAAAGGGTTAATATAACAAGATTAATAGAGGGACTGTTAGGGAGTTTGTTAAATTAAAAAAAAAAAAAAATACTACGTATTTACAGTGGTACCTCGAATTTCGAACAGGTCCCAACTCAAACAATTATGTAAGTGTATTTTTGTAAGTGCTTTGTAAGTGTATTTTTGGAGGGTCTGAAACGGACTAATCTAATTTACATTATTCCTTATGAGAACAAGTTCGTTCAGTAACGGCACTCGAACAGCCTTCTGGAACAAATTTCAACCGATATTCGAGGTACCACTGTACCTAATAAAGTACATACTGTATAAACAGTAAAAATGAGTTAAAAGTACAATTTAAGCAGTGGATTTTGCCCATAATTTTTAAAGTATTATATCAAGGGTTTACTGTTCTTCCATTCTTCTTAAACTTTTCAGTCAGTACTCCAACACTTTTGTTTGTCAATAAGCTGAATACAGTGACCACTCCCTTTTCGTTGGGCTCTGTTTTCGCTCATTTCAGTTTTGGCCGATTTTTTCTGTAAAAATATTGGCTCAGTTTTCGTTGCGTTCCTCCGTTCTTGTCGATGGTACGGTAAAAATATTGGCGGCTCAGTTGTTGTTGCTCTCCTTCGTTCTCGTCAGTGGTACGGTACAGGTCTGAGTGTGCCACTCACACAACCTCCCACACACGCTTTGTTTATGGTTGACTGAACATTACTCTGCGAGCTGATACGAATTATTTCGTAATAATTCATTGTTTCTTGCACTTGTTCATTCTGTTTGACTGCTAAATAAGCCACCATGGGCCCAAACAAAGCTGCTAGTCCCAGTTCTTTGGTAAAAAAGGTGAGAAACACAACAGAATTCAAGAAAGAAATCATTGAAAAATATGAACGTGGCCTACTTGTGATTGACATCGCAAGGATGTACGGCAAGCCTGCATCAACCATCAGTTCCATCGCAGAGAAGAAAAACGAAATCAAGGAAGTTGATGCTGCGAAAGGGATAAAAGTGACAACAAAACAGAGATCACAAACACAGGAAGATGTCGAGAAATTGTTGTTGATGTGGATCAACGAGAAACAATTAGTGGGAGATAGTGTTGTGCAGTCAATAATTTGTGAAAAGGCAAGGCAGTTGCATGCCAATCTCGTAAAGAAAATGCCTCGAACGAGTGCTGATGTTAGCGAATTTGTGACCAGCAAAGGCTGGTTCGAAAAATTCAAGAAGTGTAGTGGCATACACAGTGCTGTAAGGCATGGTGAGGCAGCAAGTTCAGATAAACATGGGGCTGAAAAATTTTTGCACGAATTCAAGGAGTACACAGAGGCTGAAGGATTCGTCCCCCAACAAGTGTTCAACTGTGATGAAACAGGCCTCTTTTGGAAGAAAATGCCAATGAGAACCTACATTATGCAGGAGGAAAAGGGACTGCCAGGACAAGCCTATGAAAGACAGGCTAACTCTCTTGCTCTGTGGTAATGCTAGTGGGGATTTCAAAGTGAAGCCTTTAAGGTGTATCACTCTGAAAAATCTCTGTGTTCAAGAAAAACAGTGTTGCCAAGAGTAAATTGTGTGTGATGTGGAAGGCTAACAGTAAGGCATGGGTCACAAGGGAAATTTTTCTTGATTGGTTCAATGAAGTGTTTGGCCCCAGTGTGAAGGAATACCTCCTGGAAAAGAAATTGCCACTCAAGTGCCTCCTGGTAATGGACAATGCTCCTGGTCATCCTCCAGACCTGGATGACCAAATGGTGGAGGAGTTAAATTTCGTCACAGTGAAGTTCTTGCCCCCTAATACCACTCCTCTCATCCAGCCCATGGACCAGCAGATCATTTCAAACTTCAAAAAACTCTACACCAAAGCACTGTTTCAAAGGTGCTTTGATGTGACTTCAGACACTCAACTGACCCTAAGAGAGTTCTGGAAAGATCACTTCACCAGTGTTGAGATTTTGATCCCATTCAGAGGAGACTGTCTCCACTTATCACAGGATAACAAAAAATCTTAAAACCACTGATACATAAGCCTTATAGATAAGGCTTGGCAGGGAGCGACTTCTAGGACGATGAGCTCTGCTTGGAGAAAATTGATGCCAGAATATGTCCAAGTGAAGGATTTTGAAGGTTTGGGGCTGACCCTGTCGACCCTACACCTGTTGTGGATTGTATTGTGGCATTGGGGAATTCCAAGGGTTGGATGCGAGTGGCTAGGATGTGGAGTTGGTGGAGGACCACAGTGAAGAGCTAACCATTGACAAGCTGCAAGACCTTCATCTGTAACAGCAACAGAACACAGCTGTGGAAAATACTTCAGAGGAAGAGAGAGGGAAGAATGTGCCTTCTTCAGTGATTAAGGACATGTGTGCAAAGTGGAGCGAGTTGCAAAGTTTTGTGCAGAAATATCACCGTAACAAAGCTGTTGCAAGCCATGTCGGTAACATGTACAATGACAGTGCCATGTCCCATTTTAGGCAAATTTTAAAGAGACACCAGAAACAGAGCTCTCTGGACAGTTTTTTGTACGACAGGTCCAGTGACTCTCAAGTTGGTCCTAATGCCATTAAAAAATAAAGAAGGGAAGTAACCCCGCATAAGCACTTGGTACCTAAAGTCTTTATGGAAAAAAATTCCCCTTCCAAACAATAGTGACTTCTCCCTCTCCCCTCCTCCCCATCTACCATACACCAAGAGTCTTCAGTAAAGGTGTCATGTTATTACACTGTTGTTTTATACTACTTGATTTCTCATTCCTTTCTGTATGTAAATCTATATTTAATGTATAAAAAAATATTTTTTTGTTAATATTTCTGGGTGGCTGGAATGGATTAATTGGATTTACATTATTTCTTATAGGGAAAATGATTTCAGTTTTAGTGGATTTCACATTTCGTTGGACTCTCTGGAACGAATTAATAACGAAAAGGGAGGTTCCACTGTACTTACTCCCACCCCCACTGTACAGTACTTCCTTCAACAAATTTAGGAATATTCTTTGCCCTGCAATCTTGTCAGATATTATTCTCTAAATGTCATAGCCATCTAAAACTATTTAGGTTGACCTTATCTATCCTTATCAGTTTTAGTGAGAAACACTTACATTTCTTACAAGAACCAACCTATTTACCAGTCATTTTGTAACTGTGATGGTATATTTTTAATCTCCATATTCTTCCAAGAATTTGGTCACAAATATGCTGTCTTTTTTTTTTTTAAACATATGAGCTGTCTCCCACCAAGGTAGGGTGACTCTAAAAAAGAAAAAGACACTTTCACCATCATTTACTCTATCACTGTTTTGCCAGAGGCTTACCAATACTACAATTCAAATGCCTCTCCAATGCCTTCATGCAGCCAATCCAATCCATCCATCTTTTTCTCTCCTGGTGCATTTCTTTTTTTTTTTTAACACGTTGGCCGCTCCCCACAAAAACAGGGTGACCCACAAAGAAAGAAAAACCCAAAACGAAAGAAAAAAAACTTTTATCATCATTCATTTTCACCATCACTCATACATAATCACTATCCTTGCAGAGGTGCTCATATATGTCAGTTTAGACATTCCTCCAAACTGCCAATATGCTAAAACCCTCCTTTAAACTGCAGGCATTGTACTTCCCATTTCCAGGACTCAAGTCCGCCTAACCAGTTTCCCTGAATCCCTTCACAAAATATTACCCTGCTCACACTCCAACAGATCGTCAGGTCCCAAAAACCACTCGTCTCCATTCACTCCTAACACGCTCATGCATGCTTGCTGGAAGTCCAAGCCCCTCACCAACAAAACCTCTTTTAGCCAATCCCTCCAACCTTTTCGGGGATGACCCCTACCCTGTCTTCCTTCCCCAACAGATTCATACACTCTCCAAGTCATTCTATTTTGCTCCATTCTCTCTAAATGACCAAACCGCCTCAACAGGCCCTCTTTAGCCCTCTGACTAATAATACTTTTAGTAACTCCACACCTCCTCCTAATTTCCACACTATAAATTCTCTGCATAATATTTACACCACACACTGCCCTTAGACACGAAATCTCCACTGCCTCCAGCCGCCTCCTCACTGCAGCATTTACAACCCATGCTTCACACCCATATAAGTGTGTTGGAGCCACTATAATCTCATACATTCCCTTCTTTGCCTCCATGGATAACGTTTTTTTTGTCTCCACAGATACCTCAATGCACCACTCACCTTTTTACCTTAATCAATTGTATGGTTAACTTCATCCTTCATAAACCCACCTGCTGACAAGTCAACTCCCAAATATCTGAAAACATTCACTTCTTCCATGTCTTGGCAGAGAGCATGCATAGTTCCTTTGTATATAAAGGCAAAGGGAACAAAAGAGAGTGCAAAAATTATAGGAGGAGAAGTTTGTTGAGTCGACCACCCAGGGAGGTACTACCATCCTGCCAAGTGAGTGTAAAACAGAAGCCTGTAATTGTTTTACATGATGGTAGGATTGCTGGTGTCTTTTTTCTGTCTCATAAACATGCAAGATTTCAGGTACATCTTGCTACTTCTACTTACACTTAGGGCACACTACACATACATGTACAAGCATATATATACATACCCCTCTGAGTTTTCTTCTATTTTCTTTCTAGTTCTTGTTCTTGTTTATTTCCTCTTATCTCCATGGGGAAGTGGAACAGAATTCTTCCTCCGTAAGCCATGCGTGTTGTAAGAGGCGACTAAAATGCCGGGAGCAAGGGGCTAGTAACCCCTTCTCCCGCATAAATTACTAAATTTAAAAAGAGAAACTTTTGTTTTTCTTTTAGGGCCACCCTGCCTCGGTGGGATACGGCCGGTTTGTTGAAAGAGAAGAAGTCTGTTGAGTATACCTGGTAAAGTGTATGGTAGAGTTATTATTGAAAGAATTAAGAGTAAGACAGAGAATAGGATAGCAAATGAACAAGGAGGCTTTAGGAAAGATAGGGGGTGTGTGGACCAGGTGTTTACAGTGAAACATATAAGTGAACAGTATTTAGATAAGGCTAAAGAGGTTTTTGTGGCATTTATGGATTTGGAAAAGGCGTATGACAGGGTGGATAGGGGGGCAATGTGGCAGATGTTGCAGGTGTATGGTATTGGAGGTAGGTTACTGAAAGCAGTGAAGAGGTTTTACGAGGATAGTGAAGCTCAAGTTAGAGTATGTAGGAAAGAGGGAGATTATTTCCCAGTAAAAGTAGGCCTTAGACAAGGATGTGTGATGTCACCATGGTTGTTTAATATATTTATAGATGGGGTTGTAAGAGAAGTAAATGCGAGGGTCTTGGCAAGAGGCGTGGAGTTAAAAGATAAAGAATCACACATAAAGTGGGAGTTGTTACAGTTGCTCTTTGCTGATGACACTGTGCTCTTGGGAGATTCTGAAGAGAAGTTGCAGAGGTTGGTGGATGAATTTGGTAGGGTATGTAAAAGGAAAGAGTAAGGTTATGAGGATGACAAAAAGATTAGGTGATGAAAGATTGGATATCAGATTGGAGGGAGAGAGTATGGAGGAGGTGAATGTATTCAGATATTTGGGAGTGGATGTGTCAGCGGATGGGTCTATGAAAGATGAGGTGAATCATAGAAATGATGAGGGGAAAAGGGTGAGCAGTGCACTTAGGAGTCTGTGGAGACAAAGAACTTTGTCCTTGGAGGCAAAGAGGGGAATGTATGAGAGTATATGTTGCAGCGAGGAGAAGGCTGGAGGCAGTGGAGATGTCATGTATGAGGGCAATGTGTGGTGTGAATATAATGCAGAGAATTCGTAGTTTGGAAGTTAGGAGGAGGTGCAGGATTGCCAAAACTGTTGTCCAGAGGGCTGAGGAAGGGTTGTTGAGGTGGTTCGGACATGTAGAGAGAATGGAGCGAAACAGAATGACTTCAAGAGTGTATCAGTCTGCAGTGGTAGGAAGGCGGGGTAGGGGTCGGCCTAGGAAAGGTTGGAGGGAGGAGGTAAAGGAGGTTTTGTGTGCGAAGGGCTTGGACTTCAGCGGGCATGCATGAGTGTGTTTGATAGGAGTGAATGGAGACAAATGGTTGTTAATACTTGACGTGCTATTGGAGTGTGAGCAAAGTAACATTTATGAAGGGATTCAGGGAAACCGGCAGGCCGGACTTGAGTCCTGGAGATGGGAAATACAGTGCCTGCACTCTGAAGGATGGGTGTTAATGTTGCAGTTTAAAAACGGTAGTGTAAAGCACCCTTCTGGCAAGACAGTGATGGAGTGAATGATGGTGAAAGTTTTTCTTTTTCGGGCCACCCTGCCTTGGTGGGAATCAGCCAGTGTGCTAATAAAAAAAAAAAAAAATTCACTTCTTCCATACCCCCCTCTCCCCAATGTGATGTCCAATTTTTCTTTATCTAAATCGTTTGATACCCTTATCACCTTACTCTTATCAATATTCACTTTAAAATTTCTGCCTTTACACACCCTGGTGCTTATCTGTTGTTTAATCACAGAACTCCAACAAGATGGTAAGACAAGACCTATATTTTCTTAACCGATGCTGGTTATTGTTTACTAGATCACATATCTCAAAGCGTTCTACAATAATTTTCTCCTTTACCTTACATGGTATGAATTGCAGAGAAACTGGCATACAGTTCAACATTTCCTGCTTGTCTGCTTTTTTTAAAAATAGGGACTGCTTTTGCTGTCTTCCAGATCTCTGGTAACTGTCCCATATCCCAGGAGATATGACTTCTTGGTTCAGACAATGCTTCTGCTCCCTCTGGCAGAATCCATGGCACCTCATAGGTGATATTTTCCAAAGAGAAAGGATATTTCACTTCTATCATTGTTCACCATGTTCTAAATTCATAAATTTTAATGCACAAGTTATATTCATTCTGTGCTTTTTTCCTTCATCAATTCTATGGTTAACCTCATCCTTCACAAACCCATCCGCTGACACGTCAACACCCAAATACAGTGGACCCGCAGCTAACGAACACATCGCATAATGTTAAATTCGCCTAACAAAGTGCTTGAGCGTAAAATTTTTGGCCCGCCTAACAATAAAAAACTCGCCCAACGTGATTCATCCCGAACCTGTCCGTCCAGCCTGAGCCCCTCAGCTGCCCTCCCATCATTGTTTACAAGCCAGGGTGACTGGTTTCATGCACACATTCGATACATTTTGTATTATTCCACTGTTTATAGTGCTTGTAACTGCTAAATAAGCCACCATGGGCTCAAAGAAAGCTTCTAGTCCCAACCCTGTGGTAAAAAGGGTGAAAAACACTGTCGAAATACCATCGTACCACGGTCAGCTGCTGCTGCACCACCGTCAGCTGTTGCTGCACCACCGTCAGCTGTACTACTTGAAGATGTGGAAAGACTGTTGTTGATGTGGCTGAACGAGAAACAATTACTGAGAAACAATTAACCCCAGAGGGTTATCAACCCAGGATAACCCAAGAAAGTCAGTGAGTCATCGAGGACTGGAGTCCTTAATCTTGTTCCCCAGGATGTGACCCACACCAGTCGACTAACGCCCAGGTGAACAGAAAAAAATGCCTGGAACTAGTGCTCATACTGGTGAATTTAAGTCCAGCAAAGGTTGGTTTGAGAGATTTAAGAATCATAGTGGCATACACAGTGTGATAAGGCATGGCAAAGCTGAAAAATTCCAACCCCAACAAGTGTTCAATTGTGACGAAACAGGCCTGTCCTAGAAGAAAATGCCAAACAGGACCTACATTACTCAGGAGGAAAAGGCACTCGCAGGACACAAGCCTATGAAAAACAGGCTAACTTTCTTGTTTTGTTGTAATGCTAGTGGGGATTGCAAAGTGAAGCCTTTACTCATGTATCACTCTGAAAATCACAGAGTGTTCAAGAAAAAGTGTCTCATCACTCATCAATACTCTTCAATAAAGGTAAGTGTCATTTTAACATTTATTTATATAGTTGTGCATGTCTCATTGTTTTCTTTGTAGGGAAATGTATATTTCACAAAAAAAAATTATTTTTTTTTGTCAGTTCCAGCTGCTTTACCCCCTTTCATTCTACATAATGCCTCATGTGCCTCCCCCACATTTACATCCTGCTCTTCTTCACTCCTAAAAGATGTTATACCTCCCTGGCCAGTGCATGAAATTACCGCCTCCCTTTCTTCATCAACATTTAAAAGTTCCTCAAAATATTCCCACCATCTACCCAATACCTCCAGCTCCCCATCTACTAACTCCCCTACTCTGTTTTTAACTGACAAATCCATTTGTTCCTTAGGTTTTCTTAACTTGTTTATCTCACTCCAAATTTTTTTCATATTTTTTGCAAAATCTCTTGACAGTGTCTCTCCCTTTCTATCATCTGCTCTACTTTTGCACTCTCTCACCACACTCTTCACCTTTCTTTTACTCTCCATATACTCTGCTCTTCTTATAACACTTCTGCTTTGTAAAAGCCTCTCATAAGCTATATCTTTTTCTCTTTTATCACACCCTTTACTTCATCATTCCACCAATCACACCTCTTTCCTCCTGCACCCACCCTCCTATAACCACAAACGTCTGCCCCACATTCTAATACTGCATTTTTAAAACTATTCCAACCCTCTTCAACCCCCCCCCCCCCACTACTCATCTTTGCACTAGCCCACCTTTCTGGCAATAGTTGCTTATATCTCACCCTAACTTCCTCCTTCCTTAGTTTACACGCTTTCACCTCTCTTCTTACTTGCTGTTGACATTTTCCCTTTGTCCCATCTAAAGCACTAATGTAATGGATAAATGAACATTTAAATCACTTTTACCTTTATTGAAGACTCTTGTTGGCACATGGAAGACGGCAAGGAAGGGAGAGGGAGGAGAGGTTATCTCTACCACCATCACCACCACCCTCTAGCACAATTACTACCACCCTTTACCACCATCACAACTGCTACCACCCTCTTCTACCATCACTACCACCTTCTACCACCATCCCTACCACCATTACTATGACCCTCTATCATCATCACTATCACCCTCTACCACCACCACAATCACCCTCAACCACCATTGCTACCACCCTCTACCACCATCACAACCATTACCACCCTCTACCACCATCACAACTACTACCACCCTCTACCACCATCACTATCACCCTCTACCACCATCACTACCACCATCTACCACCATCACTACCACCCTCTACGACCATCGCTACCACCCTCTACCACCATCGCTAACCACCCTCTACCACAATCACAACCATTACCACCCCCTACCACTATCACTATCATCCTCTATCACCATCACTACCACCCTCTACCACCATCACAACCACTACCACCCTCTACCACCATCACAACCACTACTACCCTCTACCACCACACTATCACCCTCTACCACCATCACTATCACCCTCTACCACCATCACTACCACCCTCTATGACCATCGCTACCACCCTCTACCACCATCGCTAACCACCCTCTACCACAATCAAAACCATTACCACCCTCTCCCACAATCATTACCAACCTCTACCACCATTACTACCAACCTCTACCACCATTACTACCAACCTCTACCATCATCACTACCACCCTCTACCACCATCACTACCACCCTCTACCACCATCACTACCACCCTCTACCACCATCACTACCACCCTCTATCACCATCACTACCACCCTCTACCACCATCACAACCACTACCACCCTCTACCACCATCACAACCACTACCACCCTCTACCACCATCACTATCACCCTCTACCACCATCACTACCACCCTCTATGACCATCGCTACCACCCTCTACCACCATCGCTACCACCCTCTACCACAATCACAATCATTACCACCCTCTACCACAATCATTACCAACCTCTACCACCATTACTACCAACCTCTACCACCATTACTACCACCATCACTACCACCCTCTACCACCATCACTACCACCCTCTACCACCATCACTACCACTTTCTACCACCATCACAACCACTACCACTCTCTACCACCCTCTACGAGTAAGAAAAGCAGACTGAGTCACAAACGTATGAGCGGCAGTGTCCCACGGGCAGGCAGACGCGTCTGGTATGGACTATTTCTGTGTGGATGTATGAAAATGGGGAAAATTTTGCTGAAAAAATGGTAGAAAAGTGAACTGTATGATAACCAGACCGGACGAAAACTGGGGTTCCACTGTAACTAGGAGTCAAACAGGAAAACAAAAAAAAAAGGCATTTGGATTATTACTTTACAAATATTAGGTATACTGAATGTCAAATAAAAACCAGTAGCTGTACCTTGCAGGTGGAGCAGATGGTAAAGTGGAGGGGGAATCATCCTGAGCTAAATGTTGCACAGTTTCTCTTAGTCTTTTACGTCGACGACTCCGAGACCCTGGTGTGTTTGGTGATGAAAACATCTGCCGTGGACTCATTATATTACTAATATTCTGAAGAAAAGAAAGACCAAATTGAATACTGTATATATGAATAGGAACAATTTTTTTTTTTCAACAAGTCTGCCGTCTCCCACCGAGGCAGGGTGACCCAAAAAGAAAGAAAATCCCCGAAACGAAAATACTTTCATCATCATTCAACACTTTCACCTCACTCACACATAATCACTGTTTTTGCAGAGGTGCCCAAAATACAACAGTTTAAAAAGAAGTATATACATATAAAAATATACAATATATCCCTCCAAACTGCCAATATCCCAAACCCCTCCTTTAGAGTGCAGGCATTATACTTCCCATTTCCAGGACTCAAGTCCGGTTATATAAAATAGCCGGTTTTCCTGAATCCCTTCACTAAATATTACCCTGCTCACACTCCAACAGCTCGTCAGGTCCCAAATACCATTCGTCTCCGTTCACTCCTATCTAATATGCTCATGCACGCTTGCTGGAAGTCCAAACCCCTCGCCCACAACACCTCCTTTACCCCCTCCCTCCAACCTTTTCGAGGACGACCCCTACCCCGCCTTCCTTCCCCTACAGATTTATACGCTCTTCATGTCATTCTACTTTGATCCATTCTCTCTAAATGACCAAACCACCTCAATAAACCCTCTTCTGCCCTCTTGACTAATGCTTTTATTAACTCCACACCTTCTCCTAATTTCCACACTCCGAATATTCTGCATAATATTTACACCACACATTGCCCTTAGACAGGACATCTCCACTGCCTCCAACTGCCTCCTCGCTGCAGCATTTACAACCCAAGCTTCACACCCATATAAGAGTGTTGGTACTACTATACTTTCATACATTCCCTTCTTTGCCTCCATAGATAACATTTTTTGCCTCCACATTTACCTCAATGCACCACTCACCTTTTTTCTTTCATCAATTTTATGATTAACCTCATCCTTCATAAATTTAAAGACTGATTTATTGCTCATATACCTTTCATGTTTGTAGGTATATCTTAAAGAAATAAAGAGAATCACTGCCGAGATAAATGTCAATAAGCCATTAAATGTTTTTACCGTTTCTTCAAAAAGATGAAGTTTTTCATCGGGGCAAGCTTCCATTTGTATTGAAGTCCAAAACCATTCAGCTTTGACAACATGTGCTCGTGGTGGACAGTCAGCTGGCTTCTCTGTCACGGTCTGATCTTCCAATACCTAAAAAATAATTGAAAACAAGGATTTGTACAAGGGCATATACAGATGAGTACACCTAATATTTTAAATCCCTCAATACATCTAATTTTGGAACCTCTGGTCCATATATATAATCTTAGAAAAGTGCTACTCAGAGAAAGTTACCACAGGTTATCAGTTAAGGGAATTTCTTATAGTACAAATGGAGAACAACAAGCCTATTTTTTTTTTTTTTTATACATTTCTATTTTAGCCTCTTCTTTCCTGTTAGAAAAATTAAAATACCATATCTGTTTTCTACATGAAGCATTATTTTAGAGAATGGGAAATGGAAAGAATAGAAGAATAAAAAAAAAAAGGTATGGGAAAAAGTAAGGGAAGGAAAGGAAGATGGAAAGGCCAGTCTCTCAAGTACAGCATACAGCCATGAATTTCATCCCCCTTTAAAAAAAAAAAAAAAAAGATTACTTTTGCTGCAGTCCACATCTCAAATTATAATGCTAGCTTCTATGGACAAATGTGTCCACGTTAACGTATTTTCCACTTAATGAACTGTTTTCCAGTCCTTATTTAGGTTAAGCAGGAGTCTACTGTACTTCTGTTTTCTAAAGTTTAGGTATTCCTACCTACACAGCCCGGCCTGGAGCACGATTCTTTTGACTGCCTGTTCAACCCAGCTGTTGCTGTTGGTGACCTGCAGGCCAACAGATCCATCATGGCCTGACTGATGAGGCACTTGGAGAAAGCAGTAATCATTTTTGTCTTGAAAATTAATGGACAGCTACATAACTAACATTATAATTATACTAGAAATGTACCTGCCTCAGTGGGAGAAGGCCAATGTGTTGAAAAATAAAAATACACCAAAATGCACACATACCACATGTGTAGCCTGCTGGTCATCAAGAGTGGTGAGTATTCCTCCATTGTTCTGCACCAGGTCCTCCATTTGGATCTTCTCTTCATCTGGGAACCCTTCTAGCACAATACGCAAGTTTTGAAACACTTTCAATTTGTACTTCGCCTGATGGGAAAAACAAATGGACTGTTTTGTGTATTATATCTATGAAAAAAAAGAAAATCTATCAGATACTTTTGATGTCATTTACTTCTTACATTGCAGTAAAGTGATAGTTCTCAAAGTTGGTTCTCCCTCAACTGGAATTTTGATTTACATAATCAATGCCAATCTTTTAAATTTTCATTTCTAAGTTTCAAACCAGCCTTAAGCTCGACCAATACTATGAAAATACATACAAACTCTTCCAGACCTGATCTCTGGGACAAATATTACTAGTGCAGCAAATGGTGTTGTCATCATCCAATAATCAGCAATGAGTAAATTATGCTGAAAAGCCCTGTAGTACATATTTAAAACTGACTTTTATTTCTATATTTTTTGATAAATTTTATGTATTCATATTCAATACGTACAGGAGCAACACTAGATCTACAGTACTTACTATAGCTCAAATGGTTGATGTGTCAATGCTTCTCGACATTGAAGCCATTACAGAGGGTTGCAGTAAACTGAATTAAATTATTTTTATATGCGCTGTTGCTCTATCATATACATTGATTTGTTTGTACATAGAGTGGACCCTCAACCAACGGCATTAATCCGTTCCTGAGAGCTTGCCGTTAGTCGAATTAATTTTCCCCACAAGAAATAATAGAAATAGAATTAATCCGTTCCTGACACCCCAAAGTCTTGAAAAAAGACTTTTTTTTTACATGAAATATACACTTCCTTACACCAAAACGAATGTGACATGCAAAATAAACAATAATTAAATGCCACTTACCTTTATTGTGGAGTTGATGAGTGATGTGCCAGCAGCAGGGAAGATTCAGGATTGTTATTGCTTGGAAGGAGAATCCCCTTCCATAAAGACTTAGGTACCAAGTCCTTTGCTGGGGTTACCTCCCTTCTTGGTTTTCTAATGCCACTATGACCAGCTTGAGAGTCACTGGACCCCTGTTGCACAAAATATCTGTCAAGAGAGCTCTGTTTCTCACGTGACTTTAAGATTTCCCTAAAATGGGACACAAGAGTGTCATTGTACATGTTGCCAATGCAGCTTGCAACAGCTGTGACAGGATAAAATTCATCGATAAATGCTTGCACCTTTGTAAACATTGAACACATTTCCCTAATCCTTGCCGAAGTCATCTTCCTCCGTCTCTATTCATCCTGCTATGAAGAACATTCCTGAGACATGATCTGTTGCTGTTACACCTGAAGCTCTTGCAGGTCTGCAGTGGTTAGTTCTTCCTCGTCATTCTGCACCAACTCTTCCACACCCTCGTCACAAACCTCCAACCCCAAGGACTTCCCAATGACACAATAGCTTCTACTACTGGCATAGCCTCCTGAGGGTTAGCCCCCAAACCCTTCAAAATCCCTCTGTTCTACACATTCTGGCCACAGCTTCCTCCAAGCAGAGTTCAAGGTCCTCTTAGTCACTCCCTCTCAAGCCTTACCTATAAGGTTTACACAACTGAGGATATAGAAGTGATCTTTCCAAAACTCTCTTAGGGTCAATTGAGTGTCTGAGGTCACTTCAAAGCACTTTTTAAACAATGCTTTTGAGTAGAGTTTTTTTGAAGTTTGAAATGACCTGCTGGTCCATGGGCTGGAGGAGAGTTGTATTAGGAGGTAAAAACTTCACTTAATGAAACCAAACTACTCTGCAATTTCCTTTTGCAAGTCATGAGGATGAGCAGGAGCATTGTCCATTACCAGGAGGCACCTTAGTGACAGTTTCTTTTCCTGGACGTAATTTTTCAGTGGGGCCAAACACACCATAAAACCAGTCCAAGAAAAATTACCTAGTGACCCATGCCTTACTGTTTGATCTCCACAGCACACACAAATTACCCTTGACGATATTGTTTTTCTTTAACACTCTGGGAGTATCAGTGATACACCAATAAAGGCTTCACTTTGCAATCACCACTAGCATTACTACACAACAATAATGTCAGCCTGTCTTTCATAGGTTTATGTCCTTTTCCTCCTGAGTAATGTAGGTCCTGTTTGGCATTTTCTTCCAAAACAGGCCTGTTTCGTCACAATTAAACACTTGTTCAAGTTTTAAGTTTTCACTCTCTATGTATTCCTTAAAGTCCTTCACATATTTTTCAGCCACATTTTTGTCTGAACTAGCTGCCTCACCATGCCTTACCACGACACTGTGTATGCCACTACGAATCTTAAATCTCTCAAACCAGCCTTTGGTGGCCTTAAATTCATCAGCAGCAGCAGCACTATTTTGAGGCATTTTCTTAATGAGATCATCATGCAACTTCCTTGCCTTCTCACAAATTACAGACTGAGAAACACTATCACCTGATAATTGTTTTTCGTTTATCCATACCAATAACAGTCTCTCTACCTCTTCAATTATTTGCAGTCTCTGTTTTGGAAACATACTTTAACCTTTCGCAGCAACAGCTTCCTTGATTGCCTGTCTGTTCGCCAAGATAGTACTGATGGTTGAATGTGATTTGTTGCATTGCCTTTCCAACTAAGCCATACAGACTCCACTCTTGTATTTTTCAATGATCTCCTTCATTTCCATCGTAATTCTCACCCTTTTTAACACAGGCTTGGCACTAGAAGCTTTCTTGGGGCCCATGGTGGCTTATTTAGCAGTTACAAGCACTAAAAACAGTGGAATAATCCAAAATATATGGGAGGCACATGTGGAAACCAACCGCAACAGCTTGTAAACAATGGCACACTGAGTCTTGGAGTGGCTGGGCCCGCTCAGGCCGCGCTCCGGGCATATGGACGTATTCCGGACGAACGTCGTTGGCAGAGTTTTTTGGCGTTGGCTAAGACCTTTTTTTAAGCCAAAAAGAGCCGTTAGACAAAATTGCCGTTCCTTAATGCTGCCATTCGTTGAGGGTCCACTGTATATTTATATAAAGAGGTTTCGTGTGAAAGGGGCCTGGACATGCAACAGGCATGTGTGAGCATGTTACATAGGAGTAAATGGAGACAAATGGTTTTTGGACCTGGTGAGCTGTTGACGAGTAAGCAGGGTAATATTTCATGAAGGGGTTCAGGGAAACCGGTTAGCTGGACTAGAGTCCTGAAAGTGGGAAGCACAATGCCTGTGCTTTAAAGGAGGGATCTGGGATATTGGCTGTTTGGAGTGGCATCTGAACTGTTATGTCTGGGCACCTCTGCAAAGACAGTGATGTTGTGTGAATGATGGTGAAAGAGCTTCTTTCTTTTTTTTTGGGTCACTGCCTCGGTGGGAGACAGCCGATGTGTTGGAAAAAAAAAATTATTCATTCTGTGAATTTATGGTGGATTTGTATTCATTTGGTGCTTTCTCAAGAACTGAAAATGTAAATTTAAAAAAAAAAAAAGTTATAGCAATTAAAAATTCACTTAAACAGAAGACCCCAATTCTCCTTTAGCTTGATTAAGGAAACTACATCACCATATTTGTACGTTTCTTCTTTAATACTGCTATAACACGACAAAGCTACATGACCAATTTTTTTTTTTTTTTGCACTTTATGTACATTAAAATTTTAAAGAAATACAAATATTAGACAGCTTTTTAGCCACCTAATGGTTTTTTGTTTCATAAATATAAATTAGGGAGCAAGGGGCTAGTAACCCCTTCTCCCGTATAAATTACTAAATTTAAGAGAAACTTTCATTTTTCTTTTTGGGCCACCCTGCCTTGGTGGGATACGGCTGGTGTGTTGAAAGAAAGGAAATATAAATTAATTACAGCCTCTCCTCACTTAACAACGGAGTTCCATTCCTAAGACCACATTGTTAAATGAATTCCTTGGTAAGTGAGGAGCATACTATGTTTGTTTGTTATTGTTTTAATGTCACCTTTGTACCATTTATAACATTTCTGGTATATTTTTAAATGTTTATACAGTAGTATACTGTACATGTATATTGAAATAAACAGAATAGAGGAAATCAGCTCTAATATACAGTGGTACCCCGAGTTTCGGCCATAATTTGTTCCAGAAGGATGTTCGAGTGCCATTACCAAACAAATTTGTTCCCATAAGGAATATTGTAAATTAGATTAGTCCATTTCAGACCCCCAAAAATACACTTACAAAAGAACTTACAATAATACACTTAATAATTGTTCGAGCTGGGAGCTGTACGAAACTTGGGGTACCACTGTACATTATTCAGGTATGAATACTGGTCAGAGAGCCCGTCGTAAGTCCGAGGTGTCGGTAAACGAGTATGTCGCTAAGTGAGGAGAGGGTATACACTGGCACAAAATAACTTTACAAAATGATTATTCCAGCCTCTGGTGCACTTACCATGGTTTCAGTATCCGCTCGGGCTTCTGCTTCATCACGGTGAGCCCATGCAGCATGTACCCAGTCTTCCCCCATTACAGGAATGTTAAAGGTTACCGCATACTGATACTTTTCACCAGTGGAAGCATATGCCAGAAGATGAGTCACATTATCCTTGATTTCATTTTTTACACTACCGCCCATGTAGTGGACTAACTTGAGTAATCTAGACTGAAACAATATAATGAAATTCTTGGGTCGAAATAAGTCGTAGAAATGAAGGTAACAGAGTAAAGATCCAAAACTTTACCCTAATAATTAATAAATTATATTGGTGGAAAGGGTTAAAAAGATGTCACAACCTTCTGAAAAATGTTTCAACTGATACAGGACTACATCAAAACAAACTTTTCAAGTTACTTAATTTTGTGGCTGCACTTTTTGAAATGTACTAGTACAGTTTAACCCTTAAACGGTCCAAACGTATATATACGTTCACGCGCGTAACGCCCCAAACGTATATATATGTTTTCTTTGTCATTCATTCAACATTGCCACAATAAGCCTGAGTCACCTAGACATGAGAGAATGGGTGTGTGCACTCACTGTGATCCATATTAAAATAATTGGGGATGCCTGGGTACCATATGCTCTTTTTTCCTTTTAACCCTTTGAGGGTCAACAGGCCCTCTCCGAAACTCGTTCTCAGGGTCGGCCAAATTTAAAAAAAAAAAAATTATTTTCTCTTATGAAAAGATAGATAATCTTTTCCCGATCATAAAGACACCAAAAGTTTGAAATTTGATAGAAAACTTACGGAATTATGCTCTCGCAAAGTTAGCGGTCTCGGCGATGTTTACGCATCGGTGATTTTGCCCACTTTGAGCCCCATTTTCGGCCAATTTCACTGTACTAGTCGACAAAAAACATGAATATTTCGCTAGAACTCCATTTTTTCTATCGAATGGGTGCAAGAAACCACCCATTTATGAAATTCAACTATCCAGTACAGTGGTCAGAATTTAGCAATTTTGCCAATTTCACACAAATTTCAAAAGATGCCAATTTCCGAATAGGGTCCAGAATAAACAAGAAAGACATTCCTGGCACTAAAATGACATTTCCTCTAGTCATTAGTCACGTCTCAAGGCCCCTCTTATATTCTTTTGCTTTCCACTTTGAATTTTTATTCTCACAAAAAATATAAGATTTACTGTTATGCAGACTACTGCATTAGTGTAAAAAATGGTATAAATATTATTGGTGCACTTGTGAAGGAATATTAGACTCACCAGTTGACGTGTATTGCACGTTTGGCACGATTTATTTACTTTTGAAGTTTGGTAAAAATCGAACATTTCTGCTACTTTGAGCTCAATTTCAAGGCACCTTTCATTGTAAAACCAGTCAAAATCATCTCAATTTCTGTAATATGTCTTCCATTCTATAAAATGAGACCAAGAAAACTAGAATACAACAATAAATACCATACGAAAATACACTGCAAAGTCGCTGATTTATTCCAAAAAAATGGTCAAAGTTTTTTTTTTCTCATTATGCACTGTGTGCTGCAGGATTTTTTTTAGACTGTGCACACTGACCACATAGACCCATTCTTTCATATGAAGGCCTACCAGCTTTCTCCCACTAGATTTGAGGCCGCTAGAATTTATGCGTACTAGTACGTCAAAAACCCCTACACGTAAGACGTACTAGTACGACCAAAACCCTCAAAGGGTTAAAAGAAAAGATTTCTTTTTTCCTCAAAAAATTTGGGGCGCTACGTGAGTGAACGTATATATACGTTTGGACCGTTTAAGGGTTAATAAAATCACATTAAAGAAGGTTGCATTATAAGAGGGTATGGTGTGTGTGCATTTTAATTTAACCCTTTGACTGTCGCAACCCCCAATCCTGAGGTGTCTCCTGGTGTCACAAAATTTAAAAAAAAAAAAAATTTATTTTTTCTTATGAAATGATAGAGAATCTTTTCCCGATTGTAATGACACCAAAAAAACGAAATTTGATGGAAAACTGACGGAATTATGCTCTCGCGAAGTTAGCGACCTCAGCGCTGTTTACAAATCGGCGATTTCGCCCACTTTGAGCCCTATTTTCAGCTAATTCCATTATTCCAGTAGCCCAAACTCATAGCTATTTCTTTAGAACTCTATTTTTTCTATCGATTGAGTACAAGAAACTGCCCATTTACCGACTTCAACTACCTAATAATGTGGTCAGAAATTTGCAATTTGGCCAATTTCACAAAAACTAAAAAATATGACAATTTCAAAATAAGGTCCAGAGTGAACAATGCAGGCACTCCTGGCTCTAAAATAACATTTTCTTTGCTCATTAGTCATGTCTCCAGGCCCCTCTAATATTACTCTTGCTTTCTATTTTGAATTCTTATTCAAACAAAAAATAGAAGACTTACTATTATGCAGACTACTGCAATACTGTAATAATTGTATAAATAACATCAACCCATTCATGACTGCATATTAGAATGGCTAGTTGGACATTTATTGGACAATGGCATCATTTGTTTACTTTTGAACATTGGCAAAAATCAAACATTTCCCCAACTTCGAGCTCCATTTCTAGGTTCTTTTTATAGTAAAATGAATCAAAATCACCTCTATTTCTATAATATGTTTTCCATTCTATCAAATGAGACCAAGAAAACGAGAATACAACAATAAATACTATACGAAAATAGACCACAAAATCGGCATTTTAATTAAAAAAAAAACGGTTGGAGTTTTTTTTTTCTCATTATGCACTGCGTGCTCCAGGATTTCTTTTATATGGTGCACACTGACCACACAGACCCATTCTCTCACATGTGGGCCTACCAGCTTTCTCCTGCTTGATTTGAAGCCGCTAGAATTTATGAGTACATGTATATATACGTCAAACACGGTACCTCGTAAGACGTATATATACGGCCGCGACAGTCAAAGGGTTAAAAGTTAAGAGCTGTTATCGTGTCTAAAGTAACCTATTAGAATTCAAACAATGAAAACCAATTTTATACCTTGACTTTGAACTTGCAAATTTTTAACTATACAGCATGACACATATATGCATATAATACGTACAGACATACCTCGTTAATATGGCAGGTTAGTTCCAGACTACTGCTGCAAAATGAATCATAGCCTTATTTTAACTTGGCAGTGTATATGAGCCTAAAAACATGTTTATACTACCATTTATTTAGTGGGCATCTGCACTAGGCCTAAAAAAATGATGTATGTAAAAGTAAAAATAATAATTAATAATTTTTTAATTACCAAAAACTATCTAAAGAGCAAGGCAAGCACCAAAAATAATAAACTTGAACACAACTGAAAAGAGCCACAATAGCAAAGAGCTCTAAAATGAGCACCATATTAACAAGGTATGCCTGTAGTAGTAAAATATACAGAAAACAGTACTTACAACTTCCGTCTTTTTTCTAAATCCAGTAAAAACTATAATGATATCTTTCATGACATGACAGAAGACAGGACGCCGAGTGTACATTAACACTCCAGTCTCGGAATATTTTAATAGCGCCGGTTTTCCCAGCAATCTGCAAAAGAAAATGCACTATTTTACATCATTTTATGAATATAAAATATTCTTCGTTCAACGCACTAGCCATATCCCACCGAGGCAGGGTGGCCCAGAAAGAAAAACGAAAGTTTTTCCTTTTACATTTAGTAATATATACAGGAGAAGGGGTTACTAGCCCTTTGCTCCTGGCATTTTAGTCGACTCTTACGACACGCATGGCTTATGGAGGAAGAATTCTGTTCCAGTTCCCCATGGAGATAAGTGGAAATAAACAAGAACAAGAACTAGTAAGAAAAATAGAAGAAAACCCAGAAGGGTCTGTATATATATGCTTGTACATGCATGTGTAGTGTGATCTTAATGTAAGTACAATCATGTAAAACATTACAGTAAACTCTGTTATATTGAAAGTTTCAATTAAGCAGATGAAGTCCCATCAATTAATTTGTTAAAGGACATGGACAAACGCCCTATACAACAGACTTAGTCCGCTGTACTGAAAGACTACCGGACACACTAAGAATAAACTGAAGTACCTGAACAGAAAACAAGTTAAAAATACAGCACATTACAATACAGTAATTTTTCTTACTTTTTCTGGTGGACAGATAAGCTTATAGACATAAAATTATTACACAAATAACCCACACATAGTACTACCACTACTAGATATACCACTACCCCTCTTGTCCCATCCCTGTCTGCTCCATTTTGTGACTCCTGTATACTGTACATATACTATCCAGACGTGAAATTGGCACAATCACGAGAGGCTAAAAATTTTATCCTTGTTGACGTCTGTAGAAAAAAATAAAAGTTTGACCTCTTGGATACTGAATACCAGAAAAAAAAAGAAAAGGCCCTGTGATTTCTCCATTATTATTGACTTTGAAAATTTTCAGAATAGATCATTATGCATGTTAAAACACTATTTGAATAATGCCAACTTTCTCCGTAGGCTTTTTTTTTTTTTTCAACAAGTTGGCCGTCTCCCACCTAGGCAGGGTGACCCAAAAAGAAAGAAAATCCCCAAAAGGAAAATACTTTCATCATCATTCAACACTTTCACCTCGCTCATACATAATCACTGCTTTTGCAGAGGTGCCCAGATACAACAGTTTAGAAGCATATATAAAAATACAAAATAAAAAGTGACCTGAAATAATAACAGTATCAGGGCCCCAATTATATATGTACTGTCCTATTACACATCCCACCAAACTGCCAATATCCCAAACCCCTCCTTTAACCCTCTGACTGTTTCGGTCGTATATGTACGTCTTACCAGACACTGTGTTTGACGTATATGTACTCAAAAATTCTAGCAGCTTCAAATCAAGCACGAGAAAGCTGGTAGGCCCACATGTGAGACAATGGGTCTGTGTGGTCAGTGTGCACCACATAAAAAAATCCTGCAGAATGCGGTGCATAATGAAAAAAAAAAATCTGACCGTTTTTTTAAATTAAAATGCCGACTTTGTGGTCTATTTTCGTATAGTATTTATAGTTGTATTCTCGTTTTCTTGGTCTCATTTGATAGACTGGAAAACATATTATAGAAATAGAGGTGATTTTGATTGGTTTTACTATGAAAAGAACCTTGAAATGTAGCTCCAAGTAGGGGAAATATTTGATTTTTGCCAATGTTCAAAAGTAAACAAATGATGTCATTTTCCAATAAATGTCCAACTAGCCATTCTAATATGCAGTCATGAATGGGTTGACATTATTTATACAATTATTACAATATTGCAGTAGTCTGCATAACAGTAAATCTTTTATTTTTTGTTTGAATAAAAATTCGAAATAGAAATCAGGAGTAATATCAGAGGGGCCTGGAGACGTGAGTGATGAACAAAGAAAATGTTATTACAAAGAAAATGTTATTTTAGAGTCAAGAATGTCTGCATTGTTCACTCTGGACCCTACTTAAAAATTGGCATATTTTTTAATTTGCGTGAAATTGGCCAAATTGCAAATTTCTGACCACATTATTGGGTAGTTGAAATCGGTAAATTGGTAGTTCCTTGTATTCATCCGATAAAACAAATGGAGTTCTAAAGAAATAGCTATGAGTCTTGTCAACTGGAACAATGGAATTAGCCAAAAATAGGGCTCGAAGTGGGCAAAATTGCCAATTTATAAATATCGCCGAAATCGCTAACTTCGCGAGAGTGTAATTCCGTAAGTCTTCCATCAAATTTCGTTCTTTTGGTGTCATTACCATTGGGAAAAGACTCTACCATTTCACAAGATTTTTTTTTTTTTTTTTTTTTTCAAAAAATTTTCGACACCAGGAGACACCTCAGGATTTGGGGTTGTGACAGCCAAAGGGTTCAAGTGCAGGCATTGTACCTCCCATTTCCAGAATTCAAGTCCAGCTATATAAAAATAACCAGTTTCCCTGAATCCCTTCACTAAATATTACCCTGCTCACGCTCCAACAGCTTGTCAGGTCCCAAAAACCATTTGTCTCCATTCACTCCTAACACCCTCATGCACGCTTGCTGTAAGTCCAAGCCCCTCGCCCACAAAACCTCCTTTATCCCCTCCCTCCACCCTTTTCGAGGACAACCCCTACCCCGCCTTCCTTCCCTTACAGATTTATACGCTCTCCATATCATTCTACTTTGATCCATTCTCTCTAAATGACCAAACCACATCAACAACCCCTCCTCAGCCCTCTACTAATACTTTCATTAACTCCACACCTTCTCCAAATTTCCACACTTCGAATTCTCTGCATAATACTTACACCACACATTGCTCTTAGACAGGACATCTCCACTGCCTCCAACCACCCCCTCGCTGCAGCATTTACAACCCAAGCTTCACACCTATATAAGAGTGTTGGTACCATTATACTTTCATACATTCCCTTCTTTGCCGCCATTGATAATGTTTTTTTGTTTCCACATATTCTTCGTATTAAATGTAGCTTATTTTACTGATGAGAGCAAGTGTGGAAGTATTTTTTTAACACATGTAGAAGTATGGACCTACTTACCAGCTACAGGAAAATAATGCACTTAATTAGGAAGGGAGGGATCCCTGTTATATTTGGCATTTTGCCACAGAGGGATGTTGGAAATGGACAAGAACTGTAAGAATAGTTTACAAATACCATTTATTGTCAACTTACCAATTCCAAGGCAGGAATGACATTTATGCCAGGGATGGGGAACATTAGCAGCATTAGCTAGTTTAGTTGAGGGGGGCAGTTGCTGTAGCATTCTGGGCTATAACAATTGTTAAATTTACATGGGTGTTTGCAAGAAATGAAGGGATTGTTGTACTTCAAATTAACCCTTTTAGCCCTGAATTATGAAAGGCATATTGGTTTCTTCTCATTACTTGATATGTTGTGTGAGACAGAGAGCTGCCAAAGTTACCAGATGCACAATCAAGTAAATTTTTAGAAGGTAGTGAAGGTCCCTCCAGTTTTCTATGGCCTCCAACTGTTACCAGTACATTGCTATGGTTATAGAAAAGAGCTGGGAACCTGATATCCCATCAGAGCTAAAAGGGTTAAGGCAGCACAATGTATCAAGCTAGTGATACAAGGATCTTAATAAAATTAGTTATCAAGGGATTAAAGTACAACTGCTAGTTTATTTCAAGTAAAGAGGTGGAAAAGAAACCAATTCAGTAACAATGAGTAAAGACAACAAATATAAGAAACAGTGAAAAAGCAAAGAAAAGGTTCTTTAGCACTAAAAATAGGATAAACGAGTTGCATGTGAGTGGAAAAGATTGACAATGTTACGATAACCAAAATGTGGTTTAACGTGAGTCAGGACATGAGTGTTGAATGCCACTATGATATTCAAACCATTCCACAGTGACAAACAGAAACAGGTGTCAGAGACAAAGGATCAGACACAATCTGTTTGAGTAGAATTTTTGTGAAATGGTAAGTATATTTCAGGTGTGATTTATCGACCTCCAAGGTTAGAAAGGGATCATGGGAGACTTTTGGGACAAATCTGTTAAGGCTTCAAGCTAGGATAACAGTGATTCCTGGGGATTTTAATTTTACCCAAACTGACTTGAATGCCTTGATTGATAATTTGGAATAAAACAACTTCGTAGAAGTTCAAGATTTTTGGTGAAAGACTAGTCTGTAACAGAATCAACCTACCTGACCTGGTTTTGTCAAACAAGGAGACCCCATTAAATAATCTAAAGATAAATGAAGAGCTTGGCACAAATAATCAAAAGAATATCTGAGAGTGTGATAGAAGTTTCAAACCATTCACCTGGGTTGGATTTTGCTAAAGAAAGAAAGAAAAAAAAATTGCTAAAATTACTGGTACCCATAAACTTTGTTTAAGGATAATCAATGATATGGTAACCTAACCTGAAATTGCCTCATATAGATCAATCATCTTTCAGTATAGAACCCTAAATACTACGTATGTCATGCACACTGTCAGCACATCAATCAATAGTAGCAAAGGCATTTAGCACATACTGGCATTTATTTTATTTAGTCATTTGTCACTGCATCATACAGACAGAAAGAAATACGCAAAACCATAAGATATCCAAAACAGAAATGTACTGTATTCCAAACTAGTTTATAAAATAAAAATATGAAGTTCTATGAAAAGACAAAAAACACATTACTAAATTCTAGAAACTAGATGAAAATACTTTATCATACACATACCTGGCTCCGGCTTTATTTAACTCTTCAAATTCGTCGCTTTCAAAATCAGCCAAAATGAAATAAGTGCAGTAACTTAAATCTGATACATATTCTAGCCCTGTCTCCGAAGTCACGATAGGAACATTGAATTTCTGGAAAGGAAAATATAGTAATATGTTTAAGCCATGCTTGGTCTGTTTGTTTTTGTATATCAGCACAGGATATTGAGGATACTATAGTTCCCAAAATAAATTCAATTTGGAAACAATAAAATATAACAGTAATAAAGTTAATTCTTCCAGTGGATGAGAGATTTTGAGTTTAAAAGCTAAATATGCAACAACAATACGGTAAAGAGGAAAACTGTCCTTATAGTACAGTCTTAAATAAGGTTCCACAAGGATCAAAGCTGGCCAGAATATTATTCCTGACTTATATAAACAATTTACTAGATGAAAAAATGTAAATGTTGCCAAATGATACAAAATATATGGAAAAAAGCCATAATGACTAGCATATTCTACAATAGTATTTGAATAAACTGAGCAAGTGGAGAAATGAATGGATGAAATATGCATAATGCCAATAAATTAAATAGATTCAATGTAATGTTATAAAGACAAATAAAAGTGAAAACAGTCATATAAGGAATATATATTATCTGTCATAGGGTCTTAAGAACATCTGATAGATAAGTCTAGAGGTAGTAACAAGAAAAGGGTATTACTCGAAAACCACTCATGCACTGCTGGCAAGCATCAAAATAAATTTCACACATTGTACAAAACTGTATAAGGATGGCAAAATGCTGAAAAAAATTCTATATATAGGCAAAATAAACTTGGAACATGAAGCTTAATTTTTTTTTTTTCAACAAGTCGGCTGTCTCCCACCGAGGCAGGGTGACCCAAAGGGAAAGAAAATCCCCAAAAAGAAAATACTTTCATCATCATTCAACACTTTCACCTCACTCACACATAATCACTGTTTTTGCAGAGGTGCCCAGAATACAACAGTTTAAAAGTATATACGAATAAAAATACACAATACATCTCTCCAAATTGCCAATATCTCAAACCCCTCCTTTAGAGTGCAGGCATTGTACTTCCCATTTCCAGGATTCAAGTCCAGTTATATAAAATAACCGGTTTCCCTGAATCCTTCACTAAATATTACCCTGCTCACACCGCAACAGATCGTCAGGTCCCAAATACCATTTGTCTCCATTCACTCCTATCTAACACGCTCACGCACGCTTGCTGGAAGTCCAAACCCCTCGCCCACAACACCTCCTTTACCCCCTCCCTCCAACCTTTTCGAGGACAACCCCTACCCCGCCTTCCTTCCCCTACAGATTTATACGCTCTCCATGTCATTCTACTTTGATCCATTCTCTCTAAATGACCAAACCACCTCAACAAACCCTCTTCAGCCCTCTAATACTTTTATTAACTCCACACCTTCTCCTAATTTCCACACTCTGAATTTTCTGCATAATATTTACGCAACACATTGCTCTTAGACAGGTCATCTCCACTGCCTCCAACCGCCTCCTTGTTGCAGCATTTACAACCCAAGCTTCACACCCATATAAGAGTGTTGGTACTACTATACTTTCATACATTCCCTTCTTTGCTTCCATAGATAAAAATTTTTGCCTCCACATATACCTCAATGCACCACTCATCTTTTTTCCTTCATCAATTCTATGATTAACCTCATCCTTCATAAATCCATCCGCTAACACGTCAACTCCCAAATATCTGAAAACATTCACTTCTTCCATACTCCTCCCCAATTTGATATCCAATTTTTCTTTATCTAAATCATTTGATATTCTCATCACCTTACTCTTTTCTTTGTTCACTTTCAACTTTCTACCTTCACACACATTCCCAAATTCGTCCACTAACCTTTGCAATTTTTCTTTAGAATCTCCCATAAGCACAGTATCATCAGCAAAAAGTAACTGTGTCACTTCACTTTTTGTATTTAATTTCCCATAATTTAATCCCACCCCTCTCCTGAACACCCTAGCATTTACTTCTTTTACAACCCCATCCATAAATATATTAAACAACCATGGTGACATTACACATCCCTGTCTAAGAACTACTTTTACCAAGAAGTAGTCTCCCTCTCTTCTACACACCCTAACCTGAGCCTCACTATCCTCATAAAAACTCTTTACAGCATTTAGTAACTTACCACCTATTCCATACACTTGCAACATCTGCCACATTGCTCCCCTATTCACTCTATCATATGCCTTTTCTATATCCATAAATGCAATAAAAACTTTCCTACCTTTATCTAAATACTGCTCACATATATGCTTCAATGTAAACACACATCCCCTACCCACTCTAAAACCTCCTTGCTCATCCGCAATTCTACATTCTGTCTTACCTCTAATTCTTTCAATAATAACCCTACCGTACACTTTTCCTGGTATACTCAGTAAACTTATTCCTCCATAATTTTTACAATCTCTTTTGTCCTCCTTCCCTTTATATAAAGGGACTATACACGCTCTCCGCCAATCCCTAGGTACCTTCCCCTCTTTCATACATTTATTAAATTATACACAAATAATGAAAATTAAATAGATCAAATGCTTGCAGTAAAGTGGTTTACAAAGTAAAAAAAAAAATGCAAATTACAAAGAAAGTGTAAACACAAAGTAAATTTGGAAACCAAAAATGGATATATGTATAGCAATAAATGATAAAATTTCATAAAAGGATACAAGAATAAAGATATAAAAGATCACATACTAAGAGTGTACATACCTGCAGTACAGTATTAGCAAGAGGGAGAACAAGAAGTCATAAGCATAATCTCCCTGAACTTGAAAGGTAAATAGAAAACATGCCTACATGTGCAGCACTAGGGTCTGATTTATGGAATTCTTTATTTATAAGTATGTGCAAAACAGATGTACTAGTAGCATAAATGCTCAGTACCACTATATGACCACTCTGTATTCTTTGGAAAAAAAAAAATAGATCTAGGTGAAATCCCAGAGGCTTTAAAATGTAGACATTAAGCTCCTCAACACTAAGGATGCAGTAGAGCTCTAGCAAAAAGCTGATGACCAGTAGCACTAACATCACACATCCTAAGTCTTGGAAACAGTGGCAAGTCCACATATTACAAACTTTACAGAAAGGCATGACTTCAACAAGTCAACATGGAATTAGAGTGGGAAGATCATACTCATCACAACTACACCATTATGAGAAATTTACAAAGACTTTGGAAGAAAACCAAAATGGAGTCTACATGGATGCAACCAAAATAATTGACATTTGAAGTCATTTATTGATAGCCCATGGAAGGTCAATTGGTATAACAGGAAAAGTAGAAAAGTAGATATTAAATTTTCTAACAGAGAGAACAACAAAGCACAATCTAGACTTACTAAAGTAAAATGTTCATTACTCCAAGGTATGGTCCTAGCACTTTTAATGCTTTTCATCCTCACAACAGATGTAAACACTAGGGATAGCTCTGTATCAATTATCTTTTGTAGATGATACCAAAATAAGAATGAAAGTTGTCTCCATAGAAGGAAACAATTAATTAGATGGAAAGAATGAAAAACCTAAAAAGAGCACTGATATAAAACACAAGAGAACCATCTCATAGAATGAAAGGAACATGTAAAAGACTTTAGTATAATATCAAATAAGCTATTTAGATAATACAATACGATAAAGCAAATGCTATGAATGCCAGGAAAATGATATGGTGAATTATGAAAACTTTCAAAACAAAAGAAATAATGCCAATAGTAATACTATTTAAATCACTTAGTGCTCTCTTCTTCAGAGGAGAGGCATCTTAATTTCCTAAGTGTTTCACCTGTGCAGCAAGCACCTTCAGTTGAATGCAGAGGTGACAAATATAAGATAGGTGAAGAAGAGATTGAGGTATTCAAAATTACTTCACTTTTATCAAAACTGAGGGACTGAATGCTTCAATCTCTTCAACTATCTCCAGTATATATTAGTCACCAATGCATTTGACTTAAGAAGCCTACTATGCAGGTGAAACATTTTGGAAAATAAGATACCATCTACTTTGCAATATTATATGCCATTAATATAATAAGGATAGAGAGAGAATAGACCTGGAAAAGGCACACTGCCTACTGCTCACAAAGAGCAGTAGGCAACCTGCTCTTTGTGAGCAGGTTGCCTACTGCCAGTAAAATATTTAAATTACTGCCAATGCCTCAAAGTACTTGAAATGCACTTTTTGAAGCAAGGAAGAGAGATACAGTTACTTGACAATATATACTGTACATAAAAGATACTGGAGAGCATAGTCTCAAATCTACACTACCATAACAATATACTGGAGTGAGAGAGACAGAAGTGTAAAACAGACCCAGTGAAAAGCAGAACACAGTTAACATCTGCTGTCCAAAAGATACCAGAAGATATCACAAATATTGTCAAAAGATGTGTAGAAATTTTCAAGATGAAACTGGATCACTATCTCCACAAAGTGCTAGATGCTTATGTAGGCCAGCAACAGCCTAGTTGAAGACAATCAACAGAAAAGCCTGGCCCCAGGCAAGGCTGAGTAGGAAAAGCTCAAAATCTCTCACAAGTATCAGATAAATAACTAAAAATAAAGTAAAATAAATTTAAAAAAGAATATCAAAATTCCTTTAGAACACCTGACTAGTTCAAGAAAGTTGATCCAGTTATAATTTTGGTTAACAAAATGCCTCAAAATACAAGGGGTCTAAATTCATAAATTTTAACAATTTTGAAATTTCTTACGGATCTCTGTGTTTTGTCAACTCAGGTTTTTTAGTATATCCCACAAAATAAAGAACTATGAAGGAAGCCCATATTTATTTCATGTTTATTATAATGTGTGAATGCTGATAGTTTACAGGTATATTTCACTTAATGATTAATGAATTACGAAGCGTGTAGTGAAAACAAGGCATTGTATGAAAAACCTGAAAGCAGTGGTAGTGAAAGTGGCAGTAGTAGTACCTTTAATGTTAGTAAGAGTTGGTTCGAGAACTTTAAGACGAGGTAAAGACTGCACTATATTCAGGTGTCGGGCGAGTCAGCATCTGCAGATCAGGATTATTCTGCTCAACTCAAGGCCGTCATAGACGAGGAGGAATATATGCCAGATCAGTTCTTTAATGCTGATGAGACTGCCCTCTTCTGGAAGAGGATGCCTAAACAAACATTTCTCTTCAAATGTTAAAAAATTGCCGCTTTCTTCAAAGCAGCCAAGAATAAGTTGACCCCATTTCTGTGCAAATTCCTTGGGAGGACTGCATGATGAACCAATACTGCTGTACCATTCTCTCAACCCTCTTGCACTTAAAGGCAAAAATAAGGAATGTTTGCCAGTGTACTGGAGGGCAAATATGAAGGACTGGTTCAACAACCCCCTTTTCAGGACTGGTTTCACAACTGCTTTCTCCCTGCGGTGGAGAAATTTTTTAATCAAAGTACTTGCCATTTACAGCTCTCATCCTAGGCAATGCTACTACCCACCCTAATGACATCAGATAATATCACCCCAATACTGCAAGTTATAGTGTAAGTACTGGACAAGTTCATGGAGTTTACACTTTGTACTTGTTTGAAGTAGTTATAGATATTTGGAAGTGAACAAGTTCATGGGATTTTTACATTCAGATAAGGTGTTGAGAAGGTTGTGTCATATCAATATGAAGTGGCAATGTTTGGAAAATATGAGATACATAGGTAGGGGAATTACTTGCATCACACATATGTTATTAATGGAGGGCATTTCAGAAATAAGTCAAATGAAGATGAAGATTTCGCTGAAGAGTTACCATAATACGAAATTCTTGTCTGAACTAGTAAGAAATAGCAGTTCTTATAGATAAATTTGTTAAGAAAGATCAACTGATGGAGAGCAGCCCAAAATTTAATAGAACAGTGAAATATGCCTTTCTACACTACAAAGAACATTACCAACAGCTTCAGCATCAGCCATTACAAGCGACATGACAAGAACACTTCAGCCACTACAACATTCAGCACCACAGCCACAACTATTGGAGTCTCTAGATAATTCTATGGAAGAATCAACTTACTGACATTTCAATTTAAACACCAGCTTTATTTCATCCACACTAACATACCATCAACAGGTAAGTAGAATATTGTACAGTATTTATCATTAAGAATTTTATCTGTATTACTCTATGACAAATTTTTACAAGCCCAAATTGATAAAAAAATAAATTATTACCTGCACAAGTATAATGACAGTAGTATTATATATTATTGATATAGCCTCTCCTCACTTAACGAGAGTTCCGTGCCTAAGACCACATCGATAAATGAATTCGTCGATAAGTGAGGAGCATACTAAAATGGTAGTGGGTTTGTGTCAACAATCTTTGATATTGTTTTAATGTCACATTTGCATCATTTATAACATTTCTGTAATATTTTTAAATGTTTATACAGCAGTGTACTGTATATTGCAATAAACAGAATTGAGGAAATCAGCTCTAGTATTATTTAGGTATATATACTGGTCAAAGAACCCGCCATAAGTCCAAGTCGTTGGTAAATGAATACATTGCTAAGTGAGGAGAGGCTGTACCTGTCAATGGTTCCAGGGATCATTGCCCCTGAAGTCTGGCCTCAGACTAAGCCTTAAATTGGAAAAGAAATATGTATTACTGTAAGTGTATCTATAGAAGCTTGAAAGATTTACCTGCAATCTTGCATCTTCATGAGACAAAGTGACCAATCTTACAAGCAAACACCAATGTTTCCATCAAAAGCATAACCTCGGTAACAAGCCTATCGAGATAAGGGTGCCTCAGAGCAGTCATCTGATTTTCCTCATATACATCAATCATCTTCCCAATCTTCCCAATGCATCTCAATAACCCAAACCTGTTGTTTGCTGATGACACAACTTTTGTCATCTCCCACTCAAATCCAAATTCTCTTAATAAGACTGCTAATGAGGAGCTCTTAACCCTTTGGGGGTCACCAGGCCCTCTCAGAGACTTGTTCTCAGGGTTGCAAAAATTTCAAAAAAAACAAAAAAAATTATTATTTTCTTATGAAAAGATAGAGAATCTTTTCCCGATCATAATGACACCAAAAGAATGAAATTTGATGGAAAACTTACGGAATTATGCTCTCACAAAGTTAGCGGTCTCAACGATGTTTACCCATCGGCGATTTTGCCCACTTTGAGTCCTATTTTCGGCCAATTCCAATGCACTAGTCGACAAAAATCATAACTATTTTGCTAGAACTCCCTTTTTTCTATCGAATGAGTACAAGAAACCACCCATTTACCGATTTCAACTATCCAATAAAGTGGTCAGAATTTAGCAATTTTGCCAATTTCACACAAATTTCAAAAGATGCCAATTTTCGAATAGGGTCCAGAATAAACAAGAAAGACATTCCTGGCACTAAAATAACAAGTTCTCTGTTTGTTAGTCACATCCCCAGGCCCCTCTTATATTTCTTTGGCTTTCCACATTGAATTTTTATTCTTACAAAAAATAGCAGATTTACTGTTATGCAGACTACTGCATTAGTGTAGAAATGGTATAAATAATATCAGCGCACTTGTGAAAGAATATCAGACTCGCCAGTTGACATGAATTGGACGCTTGGCATGATTTGTTTACTTATGAATTTTGGTAAAAATCGAACATTTCTGCTACTTTGAGCTCAATTTCAAGGTACTTTTCATTGTAAAACCAGTCAAAATCATCTCAATTTCTGTAATATATCTTTCATTCTATAAAGTGAGACCAAGAAAACTAGAATACAACAATAAATACCATACGAAAATACAGTGCAAAGTCGCTGTTTTATTCCAAAAACACGGTCAAAGTTTTTTTTTCTCATTACGCACTGTGTGCTGCAGGATTTTTTTTTATACTGCGCACACTGACCACATAGACCAATTCTTTCATATGTAGGCCTACCAGCTTTCTCTCACTAGATTTGAGGGCGCTAGAATTTATACGTACTAGTACGTCAAAAACCCTGGGGCGTAAGCCATACTAGTACGGCCGAAATCCCCAAAGGGTTAAAGATATCTAAATGGATGGAAAACATTCATAATAACCTTCACAAACATTACAACGAATTCTTGCTAAAAATTTCCAACAAACTGTTAATACAAATAATTCCAGTAGTACAGTGGTCCCTCAATAATCGTCCATAATCCGTTCCTGGAAGTGGGACTATTATTGAAATGGACGATTTACGAATCAATTTTCCCCATAAGAAATATTGTAAATTCAATTAATCCGTTCCTGACACCCAGAAGTATTAAAACAAAAATTTTTTTTACATGAAATATAGATGTAGTACATAAACAATACAGTGGCACATGATGAATTAAACATTAACAGAATAACACTTACCTTTATTGGTGATTCTTCTTTGTGTATGTAAGACTGGAGAATGAGACTGATTGGATGAATTACTGTTTGGAAGGGGAATCCCCTTCCATCAACACCTCGGGTACCAATTGCTTTTCTGGGGTTACTTCTCTTTTCTGTTTCTTAATGCCACTAGGACCACCTTGAAAGTCACTGGAGTCCTGTCTCGCAAAAAACTGTCCAGAGAGCTCTGTTTCTGGCGTCTCTTTAAAACTTCTCTAAAATGGGCCAAGGCTCTGTCACTGTACAAGTTGCCAATATGGCTTGCAACATCCTTCTCTGGGTGATGTTTCTCCATAAATCTTTCCATCCTACCCCACATTTCAAAAATCTCCTTAATTTCTGAAGAAGGCACCTTCCTCCATCTCTCTTCCTCCTCCTCTGCAGCAAGATTCAGAGCTGCCATTTGTTGCTGTTCCTGCTGAAGCTCTTGCAGCTCCTCAGTGGTTAGCTCTTCGTTGTGGTCCTCCACCAACTCTTCCACATCCTCCAAACTCACATCCAACCCCATGGAAGTCCCCAGTGCCACAATGGATTTAACAACTTGTGGACACAATCTGGCCATAATTTTCTCCAAGCAGAGTTCAAAGTCCTGCTAGTCACTCCCTCCCAAGCCTTACCTATAAGGCTTACGCAATGGAGAATACTGAAATGTTCTTTCCAAAAATCTTGTAGGGTCAAGTGAGTGTCTGAGGTCACATTCAAGCACCTTTCAAACATTGCTTTGGTGTAGTTTTTTTTAAAGTTTGCAATGACCTGCTGGTCCATGGACTGGAGGAGAGGAGTGGTATTCGGGGGCAAGACCTTTACTGTGATGAACCCAAACTCCTTCAGAATTAGGTCATCCAAGTTTGGAGGATGAGCAGGTGCATTGTCCATTACTAGGAGGCACTTGAGATCCAATTTCTTTTCCAGGAGGTAATTCTTCACACTAGGACCAAAGGAAATAAATGGTATAAAATACCGACACAATGGAAATATAAACACATATGCACATATGCATCGCTATTGGGCCGTGTGGACGTGCTGCGCAGTAGCTCCTGATTGAGTTGGCTTTTGCGCAGTGTTGACGTGTACTTAGCTCTGTGAAGACCTGTTTGCGCGCTCTCTACGAATTGAAGCAAGATGCCCTCCATCGAGCAACTTTACCAACAGCTTAAGGAAGAATTGAGGATGGCGAAGATGGAGATTCAGCGACTGACCGAGGAAAACAAGATGATTCGTAGTAGTCCTCCTGTTTTGAGTCCTCAGGTCAAGAAGGGAAACTGGTCAGTGGCTGGACAGCAGGGAACGAAGTTGACGATCAAGAAGACGAATGGAAAGGTAGAAACGATGAAGAAGAAAGAGACTGCCGTGGAAACTGTTGTGGAAACATCTAATACATTCTCAGTGCTACCCGACGAATGTGAGTCGACTACTGGGAACATCACGATGAACGACACCAAGGAAGGTAAGAATATTGTTGTTGTTGGGATAGCCAAGTTAGGTATATGGATAGGGCGTTCTGCTTGAAGGACAGGAGTAGGAGACAGAGAGTTTGCTTTCCTGGGGCTGGGATGGAGGATATTGTTAGCCGTCTGGATGACATCATGAAAGGTAATGGGAGCAATCCTATTATCTGTCTCAGTGCTGGAGGCAACGATGTTGGCAGATGTAGGAGTGAAGACCTGATTAGCAGGTATAGGTCAGCAATAGAAATAATTAGGAGTAAGGGTGGGAACCCTGTCATATGTGGTGTTTTGCCAAGGAGAGGAGTTGGAAATGAATGGTTGTCCAGGGCAATTGGTGTCAATTGCTGGCTGGACAAATACTGTAAGGAAAATGTGGTAACATTCATTAACAATTGGGACCTCTTCTATGGCAGAAATGACATGTATGCCAGGGATGGGGTTCACTTATCTAGGTCTGGGGTGGTAGCACTGGCAACTGCAGTGGAGGGAGCAGTTAGGACTTTAAACTAGGAATAGTTAGTGGTATGGGTTTTGGCAGGAAAACAGTGAAGTCCCAGTGTAGTAATATTA